AAAAAAAAAAAAAAAAAAAAAAAAAAAAACACATCATAGTAAAACCAATACCTTCTCAGCTTCGCATCGAAGCTAAAATTGTGCTGATACATACATTATTCAAAAAGTTATAACAATTTAAAGATGAAAATTAAAAATCCAAAATCGGAAATTTTAACACAACAATAGCATTTTTTTACTACGGCTGCCGTTTGCACGTAGAAGATAAGGTGTCCGGGACATATTTTTTTTTCATTTTATAGTACTGACATAAGCTTTAATTTGATATATGTTTAAAGGATGTAGTATTTCCGGTACATTTTCAAAAGTTATGTTGAAAAAGCTTGTTTTTTTTAAAAAAGTTACTATTTTATATCCCCCTGTTAGCAGGTTAAGTATTAGATTTTCAAATAAATGATACCGAATAAAAGAAAAATATCTAAGGTTTCAATAAAAAAAAAATTAATTTGTTTTGTTAATTTTTAAAAAAATTTATGTTAGTTTTAAGAAAAAAATTGAAAACATTTCGAAAATTAGCGATTTTTAAATTGTAATTTTTTTGGAGGTTTCCGTTTTTAACTAAACACGATTTGTGATCTTTTGACATACTATTCATCAAAATCGGTCCAGTGAGTGCTGAAAATAAATGGCAACAGACACAAAAAAAAAACACATCATGGTAAAATTTTAGCTTCGTATCGGAGCTAAAAACCCAACACATAGGGGTCGCAGCAAAGTGGTGACGTGGCATATTTGGATCAAGTATAATGATATTTGACAGTGATTAAAATCACTATCAAAAAAAAGAATGCTTTAATGCAAATCTTTAGATAGTGTTTAATTTTAAAAAATTGGTGGATTATTCCAAAAGCTATATACATGATCTCGTATTTTCTTATTTATATTCTGATTAAGATAAAGTATGTCAAATGAAAGAGGAATAATAATATTATTTTTCATAAAATAATTGTATTGATCCATACACTATTCAATATGTTAATAAGTACAATAAAGTTAAAATATAAAATCGAGAATTTTTACACAAAAATAGTATTTGATAACTCTTTTCACTGTGAAGACTAAATAAAGTCCAACATTTTTTTTTCATAATAAAGTATATTACATTAGCTTTAATTTAAGATATATATATAAAAGTGTCAGTATTTCCGGAACACTTTCAAAAGTTAAGTTAAAAAGTTAATTTTTTGTGAAAAAGTTGTCAATTTGAATCCGCCCTGTGGGTTGGGTTTAGATTTATTAAAAAAATATACCAAATGATAGGTAAAGACATCAAGCATCTATTACAAAATAATTATATTGATTTTTTCATTTTTGAATATAGTGCTAATAGGAGAAAATTAATCAAAGACTAGAGTTGTGGAGATCAGCTCTTGAAGAAAAAGGTTTAAGAATAAGTAGGAGTAAAATAGAGTATATAGAGTACGAGTTAGATAAAGGAGAATACGAGATAGGTGAAATAAGGAGACCAGTGACAATAGGCGAGGACGTAATTGGAGAGGTGGAAAGTTTTAAGTATTTAGGATCAGTTGTGCAAAAGAGTGTTGGTATTGACGAAGATGTAAGACATAGGATTAAATGCGGGTGGATGAAGTGGAGAGAAGCGTCTTGTGTCTTATGTGATTAAAGAATTCCAATGAGGGTGAGAGGTAAATTCCATAAAACTATAGTGATACCAGCTATTATATATGGTTCAGAGTGTTGGGCGGTTGATAAGAAAGTAAAGCAGAGAATGAGTGTTACAGAGATGAGAATACTTAGATGGATGAGTGGAGTGACTTGAGAAGATTGGATAAGGAACGAACATATAAGAGGGAGTACAGTTGTAGCGTCAATCGTGTATAAGATGAGAGAATATAGACTCAGATAATTTGGTCATGTTATGAGGAGAGACGAATCGGAAGCTGTAAGAACAGTTATAGAATATTGAAGGAAGAAGAGGTAGAGGAAAACAAAAAAAGAGACGAAGAGATGTTATTGAATGCGATATGAGGACATCTGATGTAAGCGTAGATGATGTGGGAGATCGTGTCAAATGGAAGTTTAGGATAAGGGTAGTCTACCCCAAGTAGTTGGGATTAAGGCGAGGAAGAAGAAGAAGATAAAATACATTTTGTTAATTGGTAATATTTATAAAAATTATGTTAAATGTTTCATAAAAACAGTGTACTTATTTGGATATTCCAAAATAAATTTTTTTAAATTTAAAAATACAAATTTTGTATAATTAAATATATTATGTTGAGTAATGATTTTAACGCACATTTATACTTATAGTTGTATAAAATCGATACAATTAAATACATTTTATATGTTTTAAAAGAAATATTTTTTTAGTTGAGTTCGCCGAGAGTCCTGAAATATTTGCCGCAGCAGACTATTTGAAAACATCCATTTGTGTTTACTCAAAGAGTCCATTTTTAAAAGGGTGGCACTTTTTTGCAGCAAATAACTTATTAAACACAAAAGAAGATGAAAAATGTCTATACATTATTAATCACGGAGAGCATTACGATGTTGTGGTTGACACGGTAGATTATTAATAATTTATAATAATCTTTAAGAATATGTATTAATCAAAATAATAAATATACATAATAATTTATTTATATTAAGTAAATATTGTAATAGAAAAAACTATTATTAATACATTAAAACTATTATTATTAAAAGGTCATTATTGAAAACTGAAAAATAACTCTAAACAAAAAATTTTAAGCAAATCACTACTTATTTATAAATTAACAAATATCACAGAACTATGAAAATCAATTTTTCAAACGTATGGCATTTTTAAAGGACTGACACGACATTTTTGAATTTTTTTTAAAGCATGGCAGTTTTAAAAGTTTTTTAAAATGTTATGGATTTATATTATTATAATTAATATGTAATAAATAATAATATTGTCAAATTAAAAACTATTTGAACGACTTCATTACAATTAAACTCAAATTAGTATAATCTCTTTAGTTAACAAATTGAATAAAAATTTTGAAAAAAGGAATTTTATTATTAAGTATTATTTGAAATAATAAATCTATGATACACATAGTATGCTTGTTTTAATATGGAAAGCTTATTCCATTTTTTTTATGAATTAATACAAATTATTTCAGTATCCAATAGAAACTGACGTTTTAGAAGAAAATTTTAAACTGGAAGTAAATATATATAATTTTTTTAATATAAAAACTAATGAAGTTACCATTTATGTTTATTTATATATTTGTATCCAATGTTTACTGTCTCTTATAGCATCGAACAATTCTTCATCCATATTACAGCTCTTTAGTAAGTGAATAGTATTATAATATTATTAATAATATATTGTTGATTAAAATCAACTAGTACAAATACTTGGAATTGTAATATAAATTCGAACATCACATTTATTTTTCAACGACTAAGTTAAAACTGAAAAATTATTTTTCAGAGTGATGATGGAAAAATAATCGATGTAACTATATTAACTATACTTATTTTATCATATTTGTTTAATACATAATTAGCATTGCTTTAAAGTAACAGCATTAGTAAATGGATATTAGCAAACCGTCAGTTATATTTAAAAACCTCATAGGACAATTTATTCTATAAGAAAAGTGTTTCAAATTTTTTTTTACGCATATTAATATATTAAGAGAAAACTTTTGGGATACTTTCCAAATGTGATTCCATTATCGAGAACTTCAATAGTTAAAGAAATCTTAATATACTTGAAAATTTTGTTTAAGGACTTAATTAATTTAGGTTAATATATATATATACAGGGTGGCCCACCACTCACTGACAACTTAAATAACTTTTAATCCAGTTAATATTTTTAGTTGATTTTTTTTTAAATAATAGTTAGACGTTAGGTCTATAGCTATATCTCAATAATTAATTTTTTTACATTTTATTAAAAATATTAATTATTTTTAAATTTTAAATAAAATGTAAAAAAAAAATCTAAGATAGCTATTTTGTAGAGTAGAATTTAAGAAAAATTTTAGTAAAAAAATATCTTATTAATATTCAGTAGTAAATATTCTGTAGCGTTTTGAAGTTTGTAAAAATTTGAATTTTCATGTACTATTTTACGGTTATAAACATTGAAATACGTATTGAGAAAAGGACAGAAGAAAACGCTATCTTTTCATGATTACTGTGTATACATATGATGATAGTGTGTATACATTACAAACTTGGCATAAATACCTTGATAAGAAATTTGATAAGGCAATTATTACTTATCAATCTCATTCAAAAGTATATTGAAAAGATAGCGTTTTCTCTGTTCTTTTCTCAATACGTATTTCAATGTTTAATACCGTAAAATANAGACCTAACGTCTAACTATTATTTAAAAAAAAATCAACTAAAAATATTAACTGGATTAAAAGTTATTTAAGTTGTCAGTGAGTGGTGGGCCACTCTGTTTATCGGTATTGGTATTCAATTTTTGTTACAATGGGTAATTCTAGTTCTTTTTAGTTCAAGCTCTTATGATGTTAAACATATTATTAAACTTAGTGTTTATTAACTCTTGATTGATACACAAACAATTATCAATTAAAATTAATTTTTTAATCAATTTTTTTTTTCAGTCGCCTAATTACTATTCAACAGAGGTTAATATTATAAAAATTTAAATAATATATTATACTAAAAGAAACGGTAGCACAATAGTATCGCAACACAGTATAGACGTAGGATAGATGGGACAAGCATATATTATATCTGACAGTGATTAAATCACTACCATATGAAACTTCGATGCAAATTTGTAGATAGTGTTTAATTCTAAGAAATTGATGGAGTATTCAAAAGCAAAATTTACTTCTATATTTTGTTTAACTTAGACTCCATTTTCAAATAGAAGATTTATAGCACGTAAAATAACATTTTCATAAGTAAATTTGAAAACATTGAATTCTGTGAAAAAGTTTCAATTTTTAAACCCCCATACGTGTTCAATTGAAGAGTCAGATTATCAAAAAATTTATGTCAATTAAAATGGATATACCTCAGGTTTTCATAAAAAACAAGTATTTTGGTATGTTCATTTTTCAAAAAGTTAAGTTTTAAGGAAAAAATGTCAAAATCGTGTTAAAATTAATAACTACTCAGCTTCGCATCGAACCTAATAAAAAATTACTATTTTACATCCTAAAATATATTCACAATAAGACAAAGAATCAAAATTTATATTCATAAAAAATAATTATTATTTTTTTTTTTAGGATTCTATATTATCTGCATTTAAAGTAAATTTCTAGTTTATTTTAAAGTATTTCAAATTTCACAAAACTATGAAAACTTTTCAAATATATTGCATTTTTAATGGACTGACACGACATTTTTTAATTTTTTTTTAAATATAGCAGTTTTAAAAGTTTTTTAAAATGTTATGGATTTATATTATTATAATTAATATGTAATAAATATTAAAATTTTCATATTAAAAACTATTTGAACGACATCATTACAATTAAACTGAAATAATTATTATCTCTTTAGTTAACAAATTAAAAAATTTTGAAAATTTTTCTTTTAAGGAATTTTATTATTAAGTATAATTAAAAATAAAAAATCTATGATATACATTATTTAAATAAACATAGTATCTTTGTTTTAACATTGAAAGCTTTGATTATGAATTTATACAAATTATTTCAGAATCCAATGAGAATTGGCGGTTTAGGAGAAAATAATGAATATAGAGTAAATATATAAACACTTATAATATAAAAATTAGATTAAGTTACCATTTAACAAAAATTAATTTATATTTTTGTATCCAATGTTCTGTATTTCTGTATTATCTGCATTTTGTGAAAATGTATAATTTATTTTAAAGAAGTTCATTAAATAAATACTTCCATAAGAATCAATTACAGGATTATAATCATGATTAGTGTGGAAAATACCCACTCTAAAAATTTCATATAAAACTTTAGTACACTAATAATTATTTTTGCATATCAGCATTAAAAAATACGGTTGTTTGTTCTACATTAATACTTGTACAAAACATCGAGTTTTAGTATACTAAACAGATTACTACACCAACATAAAATTAAAAAAATTGACCCAATGGTCTGACCGTTACCGTCAATATGTTTAACATATATTCACAATAAGACGAAGAACCAGAAATTATATTTATATAAAATATTTAATAAATAATTTTTATATTAAAAACATGTTTTTTTTCAGGATTATCTATTAAATGCGTATAAAGTAATTCTATAATTTATTTAAAAGTATTTCATTAAACGAGTAATTCGATTGCAATAATTTACAGGATTTTAAAGACAGGTCAAAGGAATATGATTCTTTAAATTTTGTAATTCCAAAAAACCCAAACAACTGTTAAATATCTTTTTAAATTTGAATATCTATTCTAAATTTCTGATTCTATATCTTGATTATTTTATTTTATAATTTGTAATATGTTAATATTATAGTTCTGTAAACAAAATTTTAATAGGATTATCTATAATTTATCCAACTATTTATTATAATTTGTTTTTTTTCTATGCACTAAGAGTTTGATAGAAAATTTTGATACTCACATACAATTTCATTTTTAGAATAAAATGGACACTGATACAGTAAGTAAACTAAGATATAAAAAGTTCTAAATTATTTTAAAAGATAATTTTCATCCCAGATGGTACGGCACATGCGGGTTCTGCAATTCTCATCTCATCCTTAATACAACACCACCTTCTACCAAGTGTACTATTACAGACTGTCCAAGCAACAATATCTCAATTTCAATAAATCATAATTCTATAATTATTTCAGCAATATACTGTCCTCCTCGACCAAACATATCTCAGCCCCACTTAGAGCAGCTTAATTCCTCATTAGGACGCAAGTTCATCGCTGGGGGAGATTTTAATGCCAAGCACCCATTATGGGGTAGTCACGTTGAAAACCCTAGAGGGAGGCTATTTTACAATTTAACCAAACCAAACCAAACGGTTTTTCAACTATTTCACTTCCTGGTCCTACTTACTGGCCAACTCATAGGAATAGACTACCTGACTTACTTGATTTTTTTATATCATCAATTTCGGATCATATAAATCACTCTATTCATAATATATATGACCTATCATCTGATCATTCACCCGTTTTGTTAAAGATTGAAGAATTTCCAACACAATCTCCTCCTCGCCTCTCCCTTTTCAAAGGACCTGAAAATTGGAATCAATTTTCCTCAACCTTAGAAAATAGTACAAACTTAAAAATCCCTCTAAAGTCTTGCAACAATATTGACTCCGCAGCCCAACAATTAGTCAGTTCAACTCAATCAACTGTACATGAATGTTCTTATGATTCCACTCAAAATTCCAATTCAAAATTAAAATCATTTCTTTTATCTTCCAATATAATACTAATTGCTGAAAAACGTAGGACCCGCGCCCATTGGCAAAGAACTAGACTTCCCTCAGACAAGTCTACTTTCAATAATCTATCTAACTCCTTAAAAAAAATAATTCAAAAATATAAAAACAACCTCTTTGACACGAAATTCAAATTCCTCAACTTTCAGGGCGGTTCATTATGAAAAAATACTAAAAATATGCTTAAACTGAAAGATTTTTCCTGTCTTATTAAAAAAATAGATGGTTCGCTTGCCTTGTCTGATCTTGACAAATCCAATCTTTTTGGAGAACACCTTTCGAATATTTTCACACCTCACCTTGATATTATTCTTAGCAATTCTCAATTAATTAAAATAAATAATTTTTTAGATTCTCCACTACCTATGTCTCTCCCTACTAAACATGTCTCTCTAAATGAAATTGTAAATGTGATTCAAAAATTAAAGTCCAATAAATCACCTGGGCATTATTTGATAACAAATAAGATTTTAAAACATCTCCTTAAAAAAACAATTATTTTAATAACTTTCATATTTAACTCCATGTTAAGACTTTCGTATTTCCCTACCATTTGGAAACAGTCTATTATTATTCTTATTCTCAAACCGGGCGATCCCCCCAATATAGCAACCTCATATAGACCAATTAGTCTGCTTCCAGTGCTTGGTAAGCTATTTGAGGAAATCATTTTGAAAAGATTAAGACCAGTCTTAGAATCTCATAAAGTATTACCCAACGCTCAATTCGATTTCCGTTCAAATCATTCCACTATACAACAAATACACAGACTAGTCGATATAATATCATCATCCTTTGAAAATAAAGAATATTGTCCGGAAGTCTTTCTCGATGTGGCTCAGGCCTTTGATAGGGTTTGGCATCCTGGCCTACTCTATAAAATTAAATCATTCCTCCTTGCTCCCCTATACCTTCTTATTCGCTCGTACCTAGAAAACAGAAACTTTAAAGTTCGTTATGGTAATTCTTCTTCCTCTCTTTTTCCCATCCTAGCAGGAGTTCCACAAGGTAGTGACCTTTCCCCCGATTTATACAATATTTTCACTTCAGACATCCCCCAAACTCAAAACACCTCCTTGGCTACCTACGCTGATGATACAGCCATTTTATCTTCCAATAAAGACCCAATCGCAGCTTATAATGCTCTTCAACTCCACCTCGACTTTATAGATAAATGGTCCACAAATTGGAAAATTAAAATCAATGCAGACAAATCAGTAAATGTTCCTTTCACTCTTAATAAAAAAAATATGCCTGTTCTCTCCTTCCAAGGAGTTCCTATCCCTTCTTCGACTCAAGTCAAATATCTTGGTATTACACTTGATAAAAGATTAACCTGGGGTCCTCATCTCAAAACCAAAAGAAAGCTATTAAATATTAGATCCCACTTATTACGTCCTGTATTAAAATCAAAACTTCCTGTACATAACAAAATAATCATTTATAAGTCAATGTTAAGACCAATTTGGTCTTACGGAGCCCAAATATGGGGTTGTGCCAAAACATCGCAGTTTAAAACAATTGAAGTCTTCCAAGCAATTTCCCTTTGTACAATCACGTCCGCTCCTTGGTATATCTCCAATCTTACCCTACATAAAGATTTAAACATTGAGCCAGTCGATATTTTAGTTAAATTATACTACAAAAAGTTTCACTCTAAATACTTCTACATCCAAATCCATTAATTTCTAACCAACATACAGTTACAATTTCGGACAACCCTCCTCGCCTTTTAAAAAGACGCTGGTGCCGTGACCTTTTAAATTAATATTATGATGGCTAAATAACCAATTCAAGTCAAATGGGTCCCATCACTGGATAGCTTCCCTTTTTCCCGTTTTTAAGTCAAATGTGTTATATTCTATTGTTTACCTATTTGCTTATTGTATCTTTTCTTATGTACAGATTGTAAATTTTATTATTTTATAAATAAAAAAATTAGATAGCGGCTCAGCTGTCTAACACAAAAAAAAAAAAAGATTATTTTTAGTTTTTTTTTTTTGAAAAATCAAATAAGATAATAATGTTGTAATCTTTATTACTTGTAAATTTTTTTTATGTATTCTTAATTAAAAATATATGAAAATCTAAATCGATTAAAAACAAAAATTTCAAAAAATCTCAAAGGGGTTGTAAAATGCATTTATGCCTACTAAAATTATGATTAGTGTGGTAAATAACCACTCTAAAAAGTTCATCGAAAACTTTAGTACACTAATAATTATTTTTTAGCATACCAACATTCAAAAATACGGATTTTTAGTTTCACACTAATAGTTGCACTGAAACGTCGTGTTTTAGTATACTAAACAGATTAGTACAACAATATAAAATTCAATAAATAGACCCAAAGGTCTAGCCGTTACCGCCAATATGTTTAACATATATACACAATAAGACAAATAACCGGAGTTCATATTTATAAAAAATAATAATTTTTTTTTTAGGATTCTCTATTATCTGCATTTCAAGTAAATTTCTAGTTAATTTTAAAGTATTTCCTAAAATAAGTAACTCGAAAACAATCATTTACAGGATTTTAAAGGCAGGTCAAAGGTAAAGTATTCATACAATTTTGTAATTTGAAAAAACCTGTACAACTATTAAATATCTATTTCAATTTGATTATCAATTCTAAATTTCTGATTCTATATCGTGATTATTTTATTTTATTATTTGTAATATGGTTTTTATATAGTTGTTTCAATAAAATTTTAATAGTATTATCTATAATTTATCCAACTATTTACAATAATTTGTTTTTTTCTAAACTTATTTATAATGAGTCATTATTGAACACTAAAAAATGACTCTAAACAAAAAATGTTAAGCATAAAGCATGGCCATTGGTAAAATGTGAAAAAGTTGTGGATTTATATTCTTATAATAATTAATTAATAATATTCTTATATTAATATTGTCAAAGTAAAAACTATTTAAACGATTTCATTACAATTAAACTCAAATTAGTATTATCTCTTTAGTTAACAAATTAAATAAAAATTTACAATAAATTAATTTTATTTTTAAGTATTATTTAAAATAAAAAAATCTATAATATACACTATTTAAATAAACATAGTATCTTTGTTTTAATATGGAAAGTTTTTATCATGAATTTATACAAATTATTTCAGAATCCAATGGGAAGTGGCGTTTTAAGTGAAAATATTAAATATAGAGTAAATATATAAACACATAATATAAAAATTAGATTAAGTTACCATTTAACAAAAATTAATTTATATATTTGTATCCAATGTTCTGTATTTCTGTATTATCTGCATTTTGTGAAAATGTATAATTTATTTTAAAGTAGTTCATTAAATGAGTAATTTGAAAATACCCATACAACTGTTTAATATCTTTTTAAATTTGAATATCTATTCTAAATTTCTGATTCTATATCTTGATTATTTTATTTTATTATTTGTGATATGGTTATTATTATAGTTGTTTCAACAAAATTTTAATAGGATTATCTATAATTTATCCAACAATTTAGTATAATTTGATTTTTTTCTGTGCACTAAAAGTTATGAAAGAAAATTTTAAAACTCACATACAATTTTATTTTTAGAATAATGTCACTAACCAAGTAAGTAAATTAACATATGAAAAGTCCTAAATTGTTTTCTTTTAAATTAGCCATCTTATTTATACAGTCATAAGACTGTCAGTTTAATCTTCCCATTTTGAATAAATAGTTCTATATAATTTTTGTTTAAAATAGTTATATATAGTATGAAAACGATTACCATAAAAAATTTATAGTCCTATTAAATATTCGCTATACGACAGAGAACCAGATTTCATATTTACATAAAATAGTTTAAAATTAAAAATATTACTACAGTTCAGTTCAGGTATGTGGTATTGTATGAAAAATAGAAGTGATATTTCTTTTGTTAAAGTGAGGTTTAATATAAGTAATCTCTTATTTTGACGGACCATCGAATGTGTGAGTGTGTGTTTATGTTTAAAATTTTATCGTCTTGGCGTAAAATTTGTAATTTGTATTGAAATGGCATGTATCCGTTATGAGGTAATCAAGCTATTTTTAATTATGACTGTCCGGCTAGTTGTTTTACTGGGAACTTAAGGAAATTGTAGAATTTATAGAAAAATGGTTAGTAACAATAGTACAAACAATGAACACTATTTGTTTTGGACTGATTTGTCAACAATAATACCGACATTTTATCCGATTAATGAAACGACAACCATTAATAAGGTGTAGGAGTGTGTGTGTTATTGTAGCAATGTAGCGGCACAACATTAAACGATGAGTAAATTAGTTGGAGTCGCCAAACTTTGTCGTAATAGTTTGCCTTAAGCTGAAGAGATAGGGACGATTAGATCGATCTACTGAAGATTAATTTTCCTACGTTGAATTCTAATTTCTTTACAAATTAAATTAAGTAACCATTTAACTAAAATTAATTTATATTTTTGTATTCAATGTTTACTGTCTCTTTTAGCGCCGTAAAATTGTTCATCCATATAACAACTCTCTAGTAAGTGAATAGTATTATAATATTATTAATAATATATTGTTGATAAAAATCAACTGGTACAAATACTTGGAATTGTAATATAATTTCGAACATCACATTTATTTTTCAACGACTAAGTTACAAAAATTATTTTTCAGAGTGATGATGGAAAAATAATCGATGTAACTATATTAACTATACTTATTTTATCATATTTGTTTAATACATTATTAGCATTGCTTTAAAGTAACAGCATTAGTAAATGGATATTAGCAAACCGTCAGTTATATTAAAAACCTCATAGGACATACATTTTCCAATTTTTTTCTATAAGAAAAGTGTTTCAAATTTTTTTTGACACATATTAGTATATCAAAAGAAAATTTAAATAGTAAATTTATTAGACAAATGCTTAGAAACTAAAGATTATTACTACAGCAACAAATAAAAAAACGAAAAGTTTTTCACTACTGAAAGATTGGTAGAAATTGATTACCAAGGTTGTATCACAGATAAAATATATATTAACGCAGATTAATTTTTAGTAAAATAATATATAATTTTAGAAAATTTTAAATCAATCGGTATAACTTCTGGGAGACTTACCAAATGAGGTTCAATTAACGAAAACTTCAATAAATAAAGAAAACTTAATATGCCCTTGAAAATTTTAAAAGAATTTTTTTTCAAATATCGTATTTTTTTTTATTAACTTTGTCTGTTTTCACTGTGAAGACAAAATAAAGTCCGAAATTTTTTTTTTCCATAATAAAGTATATTATATTAGCTTTAATTTAAAATATATATAAAAGTGTCAGACTTTCCAGAACATTTTTAAAAGTCAAGTTTAAAAAATTATTTTCCGTGAAAAAGTTGTTATTTTAAATCCCCCCCTGTGGGCAGGTAAAGGGTCAGAATTATAAAAAAAAATATCAAGTAAAAAGTAATGACATCATGCATCTATAAAAAAAATTTATATTGATTTGGTCATTTTTAAAAAAGTTATGGCAGTTTTAAGTAAAAAAAATTTGAAAAAATGTCGATAATTAACGATTTTTAAATTTGTAATTTTTTTGGAGATCTCCCCCATTTACGGGGAACGAGGGAATTTTTTTAATTTTTGAGGGTAATGTCTTCGACTAGATACGATTTGTGATCTTTTGACGTATCATTATAAAAGAAATCGGTTCGGTGAGTGCTGAGAAAAAGTGGTAACAATCACAAAAAAAAAAACACTTCATAGTAAAACCAATACTTTCTCAGCTTCGCATCGAAGCTAAAACATTGAAATAGAACGTTTTTTTTTCTTAAAATTAAAAAATTACAACAAACATGACCTAACAAGGATTTAAAGCCGTGAGCATCGCTGCTCGAAAGTATTATTGTTGCACATAGTGCGTAGCTCTACATTATTTGCGCCCTAATAGTATCGGTATTTAATTCTTTTACAATGGGCAAAAATAGTTGTCTAGTTCTTTTTAGTACGAGCAAAGTTCTTAAGATGTTAAACATATAATAAAACTTAGTGTTTATTAAATTGATTGATATACAAATAATAATTATTATTATCAATTATTAATTTTTTTTTTTTCACTTAAATACTATAAACGGTGGTTGATATTACAATAATTAATGTAAAATATTATACCCAAAAAAGAATGTTTTTTTATCGTTCTAAAATATATTCACAATAAGACGAATAATCAGAGTTTATATTTACATAAAATACTTAATAAATAATTTTTATATATAAAACATGTTTTTTTTTACGATTCTCTATTATCTACAGACAATGTAAATGTATAATTTATTTTAATGTAGTCTATTAAACGAGAAATTCGATAAAATTCATTTACAGGATTTTAAAGATAAGTCAAACTTAGAGTATTCTCTAAATTTTGTAATTCGAAAAATTCCAATATACTCTTGTATATTTTTGTGAATTTGAATATCTATTCTAGATTTATGATTCTATATCGTGATTATTTTATTTTATTATTTGTAATATGGTTATTATTATAATTGAACAAAATTTTATTTGTATAAGCTTTAATTTATCCAACTACTATAATTTGTTTTATTTCTGTACACTAAAATTTTAATTATTTCGTAATTAGTTTTGGTTATCATATACGTCAGTATTGGTATTCAAATTAGTTGCACTGGGCCATGACTGTTTTCTAGTTCTCTTTTGTAGAAGCATAGCTCTTAAGATTTTAAACATATTAAAAGAAATAATTTTTATTAATTCTTTATTTATACACGAATAATAATTATTATTATCAATTATTATTAATTTTTTAATGAACTTTTTTTCAGTTTGATTTTCATACAAGAAAGGTTATTATTGCAATAATTAAAAATTAGTTTTTTAATATTCATTATTGAAATATTTTATTATAAAGTAATTGCTTTTTTATCGTCCTAAATTATATTCACAAGACGAATAACCAGAGTTTATATTTACGTAAAATAAATTTTTATTAGATCAGCTATTTTTTATTTCACTATTTACAATATTTGTTTTTACATATAAGTAATAGTTAAGAAAGGAAAATACTAATAATTACATATCAATTTTATGTTTAGAATCAAATGATCACTAACACAGTCAGTATATAAACGTATTAAAGTCTCAAAATATTTTTAAAAACTAAATTTAACATAATTTATTTGAAAACTTAAATAAACTAATAATTTAAATAAATTTTGCGAAAAATCATACCAATATTATGAAAATAATACTTTGATTTTTAGATTAATATTAATGTATTAGTATCTTTATTTTGTTTATAGTTTGGACAGTGGAATAATATAAAAAGTTGCGAAAATATAACAAAATTATTTCCAGTTAATCAGGAATGGCAGATGGAGAAGATCTCCCTTTTGGAAATTAATTTAAATGATACTGAAATTGATATGCAAAATATTTGCACGAAGGATAAGCTAAATTATTCAAATTTAGATTTAAACGTTATTAAAATTCTTAGTAACGTGCATTGTTTTTTTAAAGCATTATCTTTATGTATAACTGGAAGTGTGACACATTTTCGACGTATAAAATCTAAATTAATTAGTGTAATAATAATTTGATATACAACTTAGGATGATTATAATTAATTTTGATTATTTTTTAGTTTTTGAATGAATCGGAAGTTTATGATAATTTTTACAATTCATTCACGAAAATAAATCGAATAGATTATTTTTTAATCAGGGGTAATTATAATTTATAAATACAAATATAATTATTAATATAAATTATGTTTTAATTAACACTGGTAAAATTAATTTATAATTAAAAATATGATTATTTATTCCATTATTCCCAGAATAAGCTTAAATAATAAATACACGAAATTTTAATTTTGTGGAATTAAAATCCATAAAATATTAAATAATTTTTATTACAATGAAAAATGTTTTTAATACTACCTAGATTCTAACATTTAAACATTTTTAGTTTTTCCTGTCGGCGTGGCTGAGTTATATGCTGCAGCTGAAATGCTGAAGACATCTATTTATATTTATTCTAAAAATAAATGGTACTTTATAAGTAAAGATGGAATAGAGGGGAAAATAACAAATGAACAGTGCCTGTATTTAGAAAATCCAAATGAAAATCGTTTTAATGTTATTGTTCATGATTAATGTGTTGTAATATACTCGTCAAGATCTCTTACTTAACCTTTTCGTTTAAGATTCTTTAATATGTTTAAGAATATGTCTTAATAACATTTCTTTAATACATTATAATTACATTCTAAAAAGAACATAATACTTTACAAACAAAAAATTTTAATAAACAATTAAGATAAATAATCAAAAAACGCATATTGTAATATATACGATTCAATTATAAATAAATTAATAGTCACTTTAAAAATGACTCTTTGACAGAGGAAATCTATGAATTTTATTTGTCATATCTTTTATTCTAATCTTAATAATTAAATGCATAGTGTCAACTATAATCTTAAGTGTAAAAAACTATATTTATGTTAAATAAATTGTCAAAATGATTTGTATACAATTCATTTGTAATAATATCTATATATTATGATTCCTTATAAGGGCATCATTTCAGTTTTAGCTTCAATGCGAAGCTCAGAACGTATTAATTTTACCACGATGTGTTTTTTTTTTTTGTGTCTGTTGCCACTTATTTTCAGCTCTCACCGAGCCAATTTTTTTCAATGATACGTCAAAAGATCACAAATCGCATCTAGTCGAAGATATTACCCTAAAAAATTCAACAAATTTTTCTCGTTCCCCGTAAATGAAAATTACAATTTTTAAAATCAATTAATTTCGTCATTTTTTCACCAACTTCCATAACTTTTTCAAAAATGAATAAATCAACATAAATTTTTTTTTCTATTGATATCTTAGATATTTTTCTTTTATTTAATATCATTGTTTTTAAAAATCTAACACTTAACCAGCTCACAGAGGGTATTTAAAATAACAACTTTTTTACGAAAATTAACTTTTGAAATTGTTCCAGAAATACTGTGTCCTTTAAACATATGTCAAATTAAAGCTTACCATAAATACTATAAGTTCAAAAAAAAAATTTGTCCTGACACTTTTTCTTCTATAGGAAAATAGCCGTCCAATTTAACGAATTTTATTTTTATGTAAAAATCACTGTTTAAAATAAAATATTTTAATACTTAAATAACGATAACATTACATTTTATAGACCTCAGATTCAGATTTAGTGACCTCAAAAACATATAGTAAATATGGTCAGATTCCCGAACTTAAAAATTGGTTTTTTTGTGTGGTTGTGTAATCCATGCAAAATTTCAATTAAAAATACTATTTTTTTAAATTATGTATCCTTTAAAATTTATTTTTATGACAGTTTATAATTTAAAAATTATAAACACTATTTTAGCTCAAGTCGCATGTTTAGAACTAATATCTTTAAAAAACGGTAGCACAGTGGGGTAATGGCATAGTGGGAAAAGTATAGATGATATCTAACAGTAATTATGATCACTATTATAAGAAACGCTTCAATGCAAGAAATTAGTGAATTATCCGAAAGAAAAATTAACTCATATTTTTTGTTCTACTTCGACTGCCATTTGCACATAGAAAATAGGTCATCGGTACACATTTTTTTTTTTTTTGAACTTTTAATACAAAAAATAAGCTTTATTTTAACATATATTAAAAAGACGCAGTATTTATGGGTCATTTTTAAAAGTTAAGTTGAAAAAGTCTACTTTTTATACAAAGTTTTAAAAAAGTCAAAAAAACTTTTCTTAATTTTAAAGAGGCAAAATAATCAAAATAAGTATAAATTTATATTTAATGTAAGTTAAATTCATGTAAATTTTATATTTATTGGTCAACTCTTTTTTATAGCAAGCTCGTATAAGATAAACAAACAAAAATAAAATTTGAACACAAAAATAGTATGTTTTTTAATTGCGGAAGCCATTTGCACGTAGAAAATAAGTCGGGACAAATATTTTTTTTTAATTTATAATACGTAACATGAGCTTCAATTTGACATATGTTTAAAGGACCCAGTATTTCCTGAACATTATTCAAAAGTTAAATTGAAAAAGTTGTATTTTATAAAAAAAAGGGTTCTATTTTAAATCCCCTCTTGAAAACAGGTAAAAGGTCAAAATATCATAAAATTTATATGAAATTAAAGGGAAATGTCTAAGGTTTTAATATAAAAAAAAAAAATTATTTTAAATTGTTATTTTTTAATAAATTATGTTTTAAAAGTTTTAGAAAAAACGGAAAAAAATCTTAAAATTTATCGATTTAAAAATCGTAAATTTTTGGGGGGGATTTTCACAATAATTAATAATATATATATACTAATAACTTTTATAATTACTAGTTATTTAAAAACCTTAGGATAAAGCTAAGGATATATAAGGAAAATAGTTCTGAATATTTCAATTTTATCATCTATTTAAACACAAAGAGTTACATATAAAATATTAATATTTCTTTTGAAATGATTTATTATAATAAAAGTAAACACAAAAAAATTGTTTTTAAATTATTACAGTTAAATTATTATTATTTTGAATTTTAATATGTTAAGAACGATCAGTGCAAAATATCTATATTAACCAATTTTTTTGGTCTTTTAAAGTTGATTTTTTAAAGTTTATAATAAAAAAAAGTTAAATTTTCTATCATAACTTTTAGCTCAATTTCATGTCTGAAATTTACATTATTAAATACAAATATTTTATGAGAATAAAAAATAGTATCGTTAAGATTAATATGTCAATATGTAATGTATAATTACTATAGACTGTAAATTTTTCTGAACAGCTTAAATCTTTTTTTTGCAATTGAATCATAGTTCTCATTTCTAAGTAATTTTTGGAGTTTAAAAAGAATCTACAATTGATATATTCAGAACTTAATTAATTTTAATGATTTACATTAACTAAAAAAACCAATCAAAATGTTAAATGTTAAAAAATCTACTAAATTGAGTATGGTATAAAATTTGATTATAATTTAACTTTTTGTTAAATTCTGGTGAAACTAAAAATAATTTTTTTTTAGATTTATATAGCAACATGTAACCAAAATTTTTGGAATAGACTGTTAGTAAAACACACAAATAAAGTTAAAAATTAATATATTCCAAAATAAAATTATTTAATTTTGTAGTTGAAACCTATTTCAAATTTATAAAAAAAAATATACTAAATGATAGGTAAATATATCATCAAAAATTTTTATTTGATTTGGTCATTTTTAAAAAAGTTATGACAGTATTAAGTAAAAAAAAATTGATAAAATCTCATAATTAACGATTTTGAAATTTGTATATTCTTTTGGTGATTTCTTCCATTTACGAGGAACGAAGGACATTTTTTAAATTTTTGAAGATAAGGCTTCGATTATTTACGATTTGTGATCTTTTAACAGATTGTTGAAAGAAATCGACAGGTAAGAGCTGAGAAAAAGAAGTAATAGACTCAAAATAAAAAATAATTTTAAAAAATCACATTACAGTAAAATTAATTAATTAATATCTCAGTTTCGTATCGAAGCTAAAACATATCTACACGTTCGTTATAAACTGACAAATCGTCCAAATACTAACATTATATTATAATGACGTATAATTTTTAAATGTATCACTGTAATAAAATATTTAGCCCACTAATTTTAAAATTTATCATTCATGAATAATTTTACTAATAATTTAAAAAATCTAATGGTTTTTGAAATTTAATAATAAAATGTCTAAATAAAATAAATGTCTATTTGAATTTTAGTCTACTATTTTTAAGTTGGTTAGATGAATGAGGGAGAGACAAGAAAAGATAGGATAAAGAACTAACAAATAAAAAGTAGTACAGGATATGGTCTTGTTATTACGAGCGAGAAATTGGAAGCTGTAAGAGCAGTTAGAGAAATGAATGTTGAAGGAAGAAGAAGTAAAAGAAGACCATGGAAAATACATGGAGGTATGTTAATGAATACGGTATGAGGACGCCTGATGTGAGCGTAGAAGAAATGGAAGATCGCGTCAAGTGGAAGTTTAGGATAAGAGTGGCTGATCCCAACTAGTTGGGATTAAAACGAGAAAAATGAAGAAAATTACGAATACGAATACGCTATATAAACTTTACTATACAGATTTATCCAATAGAATAATCCATATAAATCCTTATATACAGAGTGATTCAATAGAATAATCCATATTAATCTTAGTTTACAGAGTGATTCAAACAAATAAGCTGTATAAGGTAATTGACATAGTCATTTCAGGCTGGCGAGTACACAAGAATAGATATTATTACTAAAACTAATTAATTCTAATCGCTATATTTCACTTCTTCACTTTTTTCGGCACATTTAAGACTGTCCATAAGCGAAAAGTACAATAATTTTTGAGAATCATGTGTAGAGCGATGCGATGTTTTCCTGTTGTATCCATATTAAACGTTACTTCTTTATAGCATGATATGTTTTGATCATCTCCAATGACATCTTTCTAAAATACACACCATAATTGAATTTAATAAAAGTCCCTTACTTTTTAAATTATTTTTTCATACTAATTCAAAATCAAAAGTTTGGTAATTTTGAGTATCAACTATAAAACCACGCTTAGCCATATAGGAAAATTTTTCTACTTATCTAATATTTTGATTTTGATTGCCTTCGATAACAAATGTAGATGTCATGCATTAATCTGACTCTGTCTTTGCATCATTTTCATAGGAACAAATGTATCCTTCCAGTTTTTTTTTATTTCGTCAATGCAATTTTAAATCACATCTGAATTTATTTTAGTAGTTTCCGAGGCGTATTTTGTATCTTCGGAAGTAGTTTTAATTTTATCCGATGCACTTAACAAAATCTCTGTAGTATTTTTTTATTGAAGACTTATCTTCTTCTATTAACGAACATTTTGAAGACCTTAAAAAATTTAATTAGACAGCTATAGACTTACATAACTATTACAATTTCAATTGAAAAAATTTTGTCGCTAAAGTCATATGGCATCATTTTTTCAGTCAAAAAAAATTTTTTTTTACCATTTTTAAATTTTAAAATATGCCCTTCCAACGGGCAAAACATTGCAGTCTCATTCTTTTCCATTAAATTTGTTTCCTCAATTACAGATGCTATATCAATAAAGGGAGCTATTGAATTTATGACTTTAATTTTTTCAT